ATGGATAGCTGGATTGTACCGTCTTCGCTCTGGATCAATATGGGCTTTATTTCAAATTCCTCATTGCTTTAAACACATGTAGGGAAGGGGCAGGGAGTGCCAGCCAATTCCGTTGAGATTAAGCCAGTATTTACTCAAAACAGCTTGAACTTAAAATTCTCCACCTCACCTTTCTCTCCAAGGAAAATAAATATGGACCACCAATGGACGTCCAGACAGTAAGAGGGATTATAGCTATTAGGTTTCCTCTTTCTCTTTTTTCTAGTTTAAGAAAGCAGGGACCAGAACAAACTGGTATCAACTGAGTCTGTCTTGCATTCTGGTTGATGAAGACTCTAGTGTAGCTTGCAAGCTGGCGCATTCTAATTTCAGCTGACGTTGGGGTGATAAGCAGGTGTCAGCTTATATAACTAGCTTATTCTGAATGAAGTAAGTCTAGCTGACTTCAATGGGCATATACTGTAGGACAGGGGTCAGCAAACATTTTCAGCAGCGGGCCGGTCCACTGTCCCTCAAACCTTGTGGGGGGCTGGACTATATTGGGGGGGGGGAATGAACAAATTCCTATGCCCCACAAATAACCCAGAGATGCATTTTAAATAAAAGCACACATTCTACTCATGTAAAAACACGCTGATTCCCAGACCATTCGTGGGCCGGATTTAGAAGGTGATTGGGCCAGATCCGGCCCCCGGGCCTTAGTTTGCCTACCCATGGAGTAGGATTTCAGAGAGGGATGGGGGTTTTGTGGCCCTGCAAGTGTTGGGATCCAAACTCGTATCCACCCTGGCCAGCATGCCTCATGGTCAGAGGATTGTAAGAATTGTAGTCCAATACAATTTGAGGGATTGTAGCCTCATCACCTTGCCAACAAAGGTCCGTATAGTAAAAGCTATGGTTTTCCCAGTAGTGATGTATGGAAGTGAGAGCTGGACGATAAAGAAGGCTGATCGCCGAAGAATTGATGCTTTTGAATTATGGTGCTGGAGGAGACTCTTGAGAGTCCCATGGACTGCAAGAAGATCAAACGTATCCATTCTTAAGGAAATCAGCCCTGAGTGCTCGCTGGAAGGACAGATCGTGAAGCTGAGGCTCCAATACTTTGGCCACCTCATGAGAAGAGAAGACTCCCTGGAAAAGACCCTGATGTTGGGAAAGATTGAGGGCACAAGGAGAAGGGGACGACAGAGGATGAGATGGTTGGATGGTGTTCTTGAAGCTATCTGCATGAGTTTGATCAAACTGCGGGAGGCAGTGGAAGACAGAAGTGCCTGGCGTGCTCTGGTTCATGGGGTCACGAAGAGTCGGACACGACTAAACGACTAAACAACAACAACAGCCTCAATCTTGGACCATAAAGAAGGCTGATCGCCGAAGAATTGATGCTTTTGAATTATGGCGCTGGAGGAGACTCTTGAGAGTCCCGTGGACTGCAAGAAGATCAAACCTATCCATTCTTAAAGAAATCAGCCCTGAGTGCTCACTGGAAGGACAGATCCTGAAGCTGAAGCTCCAATACTTTGGCCACCTCATGAGAAGAGAAGATTCCCTGGAAAAGACCCTGATGTTGGGAAAGATGGAGGGCAAAAGGAGAAGGGGACGACAGAGGACGAGATGGTTGGATGGTGTTCTCGAAGCTACCAGCATGAGTTTGACCAAACTGCAGGAGGCAGTGGAGGACAGAAGTGCCTGGCATGGTCTGGTCCATGGGGTCACGAAGAGTCGGACACCACTAAATGACTAAACAACAACAACAACAAGCCTCAATGTGTTTCAGGTCCAACAATTGCCTTCATATTTGTGTGGCTTCTCCTATGGGAAAGTAAGTTCTCGGGTGACAGCTTGGACAGAGTGCCGCACACTTGGCACTGGGATGATCTGCTTGCAAACTATTTCAGCGACCCCCTTTAAGATGGGAGGCTCAGGGGTGGGGGTACCCCGAAAGATAGGATACAAAATGCATCATATAAAGTAAGTAAACACTGAATTACGGAACATCAGCAGCTCCACTAACGGAAAAAAACATTGGGAATCATCAATCGGCTGGCGTTAATGAGGTACTAAAAACGAAGGCATTTTGCCAACTGGGTAGCAATCTGCTCATTTCGCCACTTTTTCGAGGGAAAATGACTTGGAGCCATCAGGGACACATATTCAAACAAACCACTTTGATGTGAATTAATTTCCCAATTCTTAGAGCAGTAAATGAATACTCAGCCAAGGAGTAAAAAGGTGGGAGGTTTTTCTTCTGCCTTCTTCAAAGTAGGCTCACAGGTAAAGCGGGGACTCTGGAATCCTACCTGTGCCAACTTTGAGAAGTAGGTCCCTCTGGATTCGGTAGGAAGGTATTCTCAGTTAAGAGGGTCTATAGCAGGGATGGGGAACCTGTGGCCTTCCACATGCTGTTGGGCTCCAACTGCTTGCATGACCATTGGTCAGGGATGATGGGAGTTGTAGTCTGAGGACATCTGGATGGCTAGTCACAGGCTGCCCATCCCTGCTTTGATGTGTGAGCTACATTGTGGGCTACACAAACAATGGGTCCCCCATGAGAAATAGATCATTCTGATCATATCCTACAAGCAGTTGAGAGCTACCTTCTGGGAGATACAGTATGTTTGTGCTCTTTAAAGTTAGAAGAAAGCAAAATGAAACATCTCATATATATCACAAGACTAAGAATCTGAATGACCATCCTCTTTTGCAGAGAAATCAAATGCAGATCCTTGCAAGTCTGCCCAGCCCAGAGGAAGGAGATGAACCGAATGACACATTGAGCAACTCTCACTGACGGCATTTTGACAAGGCTACAATAGGGACATTGTAAGGCGGGGGAGGGGGGCTAATCTGTGGCACTCCAGATGTTGTTGGACTCCAGCTCTCACCAGCCAATGGTCAGGGGATGAAGGGCGGTGTGTAGCCCACACAATCTGGAGGGCCACAGGTTCCCCACCCCGAGGGACAGGATATACCTGACGTCTAATTTACATTAGTTGCTGCAGCTATGGGAACCAGGGAATGGCAGCTACAGTGGTACCTCAGTTTAAGAACTTAATTTGTTCCGGAGATCTGTTCTTAACCTGAAACTTTTCTTAACCTGAAGCACCACTTTAGCTAATGGGGCCTCCCGCTGCCACCGTGCTGCTGCTGCTCAATTTCTGTTCTCATCCTGAAGCAAAGTTCTTAACCCGAGGTAATATTTCTGGGTCAGCGGAGTCTGTAACCTGAAGCGTCTGTATCCTGAAGTGTATGTAACCCGAGGTACCACTGTATTCTGCATTAGTCAGGCTACAACCCCAGACCCTCCAAGTGTCCCTGTTTTCCAGGGACCTCCAAGATTTGGAGAAGCCATCCCGGTTCCTGATTTGATCCCAGAATGTCCCACTTTTCCTTAGGGCATCCCTATTTTCACTGGAGAAATGTTGGAGGGTGTGGTAGGATGTCCCTATTTTTATCAGATAAATATTGGAGGGTATGGAGTTATCCAAACACCAAGCTATCTGAAAGCAATCCTGTATAGGGAAAGGTTTTTTTAAAAATGTTTTATTATGTTTTTTATATGTTGGAAGCTGCCCAGAGTGGCTGGGGCTACCCCGTAAGATGTGTGGGGTATAAATAGTAAAATCAGCATTATGGAATAGGACGTCCCTATTTTCATTGGAGAAATGTTGGAGGGTATGCAACCCTACGCACTCTCAGGGAAAATCTCTATTGAACATTGCACATAAACAAATATGCATAGGATTGCACTGGGTGAGTATCAAAAAGCCTGACCTTGAATATTTGGTTATGGACCACAGAACTCCAGAGATATGCCCATGTTGAAAAGGGAAGGTTTTCCATTTCAAAAAAAATTCTGCTGTTTTTGTGCCAAACCATGGCGCAGATTCCACTTCTGGCCTGCTGCAACTTGACTCTCCTATTAATAGATCGCTCTCTCTGGACCCTCCCTCGGCCCTCTCTGGTGTCAAGTTCATAGCAGCGAAGTTAGAAAGAGGAGGTAATTGTGGCGGGTGTGGGGTGGTGAATCATGTTGCTGATACAGTGTAACCAAGGTGACTCACTGCATGGCTACATTGCTGCCTCTCAGCCTCAGTTCCCCATTTGTAAAATGGGAACAATATTGGTCTAGCTGACCGGCCTATTGTGAGGCTGGAGGAGACAGGAGGATGCCCTTATCCAATGCATGTTTATTTTAAAATGCACCTCCCTTAATATTTCCCCCCACTCCCTTTTACTTCGTTAAATTTCACCGTGTGCAGAAACGTGTAAAGGTGTATTGTTGTTTAAGGAAATAAATCTATATCTCCGTTAGACGTGGTCCTTCCTGTTGGCTTCAGTCTCTAGGTTTTTGCTGAGGAGGTTGTTCTGAATGTTTATAGCATTGTGGGGTGGCTGTGCTCAGCCTAATGAGTCACAAGCTGTGGAGACTCAGCATAAAATGACGAGCATGATCACACCTCTGAGTATTCTCCGTGAGTGGGTGGCTGAGCTGCTGTGATGTCACCGTGTGGGCCTGTGCTAAGGGGAGGTTCACAATTTCTGCCTGACATTGGCCCACCTATTCTGATGTCACAGAGGACTTAGTCAGCCGTGGGACAGGCAATTGGCACGACGAGGAGAATCTAAATGCCTTGCCTTGAAAAACCTCCATATAAAGAGAGCCCACAACTTCTCTAAGCAGTTTCTTCTCTTGGGGGGGGGGTTGCTACTTAAGATCTCCCTAATATTTAGTCTAAGTGTTATGTTTGTCATGGATTCATCCTTATTTGTGCTCATGATAGTGCCAGAAGTGGTTATACACACTTTCAAAACATCCTCAGTTTCAAAAATTTCAGAGCAGACGTTCTGATTCTTTCCCAGTTGGTAGAAGTCCAGTAGCTTCCTGCTGAAATCCTTATAACTTTTCATACCACAAATGTTCCAGGTTAGAATCATAGAGTTAGAAGAGATCCCGAGGATCATCTAGTCCAACCCCCTGCAATGCAGGAATATGCAGCTGTCCCATACGGGGATCGAACCTGCAACCTTGGTGTTGTCAGCACCATGCTCTGAGCAACTGTTGAGCTGTAGCAGAAAAGTGCCCCTCCAGATGGCAATACAGTGGACGCTCGGGTTGCAAACGTGATCGGTATGGGATGCACGTTCACAACCCGCAGCATTTGCAACCCACGCAAAGCGTGATTTAGCACTTCTACATATGCGCGACTGCCGAAACCCAGAAGTAACCCGTTCCAGTACTTCCAGGTTTCGGCGGTCCGCAACCTCAAGCAGCTGTAACATGAGGTATGACTGTAATGCAATAACCTTGGGTTATATAACAGGATAATTATTAAAGCAGGAAAGTGTTTGGACGCCCCAGTAAAAATCATCCACCACCGATGTGCTATTATTACCTCAATGGCATGTTGCAGCATACACCTGGGGAAAAACCCAGCACCAGTCTGGAGGGGACCCTCAATCAGGGAAGTGCATTGCTTGACGAGTAAATGCAGCCTCCAGATCTGGCCTGAGACACTTGGCTGCCTGAGGTGAAGGGCAAGATGGCTCCCCCCAACTTCCAGGTACGGAAGTCAGCTGCCTGGAAGATGGACCTCAGTTCAACACTGGCAACAAGACAGCAGCCTCCACTGTATCTGAAGGCAGCAAGCTGGCTTAGGTGACTGTTCTCTACCCGCCGGCATCTGCTGTTGCTTCACTCTGTCTAATGGTTGTACCAGACCTAAGGACCAGGGCAGTCTTAACCATAGGCTCTAGGGGTGCGGGGCACCCAGGCGCCGGGCTCTCAGGGGTGTCAGGCCAAGAGTCCGGGGCCCGAGAGTTGAGTCCAGGGAAGAGCCCGCCACAAGTTCAGGGGTGACCAAGCCAGCAGGACGCTGAGGTGGCCGGCCTGCTCCGCCCTCCTGCATGCCTGGGACTGGGCAACCTCTGGGGGTGCCGGGCGGATCTTTGCACCCTGGCGCCGCATATGCTTAAGACAGTCCTGTTAAGGACCAGAGGATGTGCCTTATATCTGTCCAAGTTAGATGACTTGTGCATCTTTTTTGCCCAATATTGCCTACTCTAAGTAATGGTGGGTTGTACCCAATGTCAGTCCTACTCTGAGCAGACCCATTGAAATTAATGGGCATGCCTAACCTAGGCTGCATTCACACCTTACATTTTAAAGCCAATTTAAATGGTCATGACTTTCCCCAAAGAAATCAGGGAGTTTGTGAAGAGTGCTGAGAGTAGTCAGGAGGCCCCACTATCCCCCTCACAGAGCTACAATTCCCAGATTTCCCCGTGAAAAGTGATTGGCTGTTAAACCACTCTGAGCTCACTCTGTAGCTATGTGAGGGGAATAGTGGGGTCTCCTAATTACTCTCAACGGTCTTAACAAACGACAGCTTCCCGAATCCTTTGGGGAAAATCATAACTCTTTAAAGTGGTATCATAGTGCTTTAAATGTATGGCCTTGGGTCTTTTAATTTTCATGTCTGAATATAACTCTGTGTCTGAATATTACAGTAAGAGCTGTTCAGCAGTGGAACAGACTCCCACGAGAGGTGGTGGACTCTCCTTCCTTGGAGGTAGAAACACCCCAAAGATGTTGGGTTTATTTTTTTACAATGCCAAAAAACCGGAATTTTTCGATTGACTTGCCCAAGATCCAGGTCAAAGCACACACACACACACACACACACACACACACACACGGACGTCAATTCCACCTTGGAAATCCCAGTAATGTCAGCCCTAGCCATCAGTCATGGATGTTTTAGCTGAGATTCCTGCAATGCAGGAGATTGGCCTAAGATTCAGTGATTCTATGATAACTTCATTGGGTACAACTCTGTGCTTCTCCAGAATCTTAGGCAGGGAACGGTCTTTCACCTCATGTTCTACCTGGTCTTTTCAACAGGACAGGCCGAGGACTGAACCTGGGACCTTCAGCATGAAAAGCCCCAGCTCTACCACTTAGCTTGGGGCCAGACAAGCAGCAAAGCCAGAGGGCTTGTCTTTTACCAGGTCCCCAGCAACCTGCCCTTCATAGCTGCTAGGCTGCCTTCGACTCCTGGGGTCACACAAGTTGCGTCGCCCTGACCTAAATCCACATTCCGAGGAAGCAGGGCCCTTTTTGCACCTGAGTGGAAAAATCAATATCTCGCACATAAACAATAAACACGCACACAAAGAGAGATTTGTTTGTGTGTTGTTGTTTTTTAAGAAAAGGCAAATAGAGACGCAGGTTGGAGGCATGAAAAACAGTGCATCCTCTGGAATCGGCTGTCGCATGAAGCAACTGTTTCCCAATGCCTCACGATAAGCTTCGCAGCCCTGCCAGGCAGGTAAAAGGCCATCCCTAAGGTATAGGCCATTCAAAACAAATAGAGCATAAGAAGCCACAAAAAGAAAAATCCAAGCCAGACACTAGTATCATGTTCAGGAGAAGAGAAGGAGGAAGAGGGCTTTGGTGCCTTTAAAGACTTGTAGAAAACATGGCATTTCACCAGATGTGAGTTTTTTGAGGGGCGCCGGGTTACAAAAATGGAGCATCTACTAGAACCCCTCTTTTACATAATGCTTAAAATAAAAACTATTACGTTTGAGTTAGCTGAGATAAGCAGAGATACAAAGCAAAAAAGAACCGTATTGCAGTGGTTTGCCGAGTTGTCCTACTAGTCTCAGGTTCAAAAGGCCACTCAGCAAGCAAAGCTCAGAAGGTGACATTTGGCCAGTCCCTCTCCCGCTCTCTCCCAACCTAGCCTGCTCCCTCACAAAGTTGTTGTGAGAATAAAACGGAGAGGGGGGAATCTTACACACTAGGAGCCAGCAGACTTTTGTTGCCCCACCCCCAAGGTTCATACGCAGCCAGGGGTGCCAAACTGAATAAAATATTGGGGGGTCCCAAGTAAGCAGTTCAAAAGCACACCAAGTGCAAGTAGATAAATAGGTACCACTCCAGCGGGAAGGTAAACGGTGTTTCTGTGCGCTGCTCTGGTTCGCCAGAAGCGGCTTAGTCATGCTGGCCACATACCTGGAAGCTGTCTGCGGCCAAAATGCTGGCTTCCTCGGCCTATAGAGTGAGATGAGCGCGCAAGCCCAGAGTCGTCCACATCTGGACCTAATGGTCAGGGGTACCTTTACCTTTAAGTAAGCCCTGCCTCACATAATCAGTCACAAGACACTGCAGCACATTCACACCATTTGAACGGCCCATCAACTTTGAGAGGTCCCTGGCCCCCTCAATTGGGGGGGGGGCTGAAGAGACCTCAGCTCCCAGGATTTGGCTCCTGTGTATGCAGGCGTAGGTGGAGATGCATGCTATTGGGTATGGCTGGAGCTGCTGGTGACAGCAACACAAACAACTTAACAGGCTGTACAGTGGTACCTCGGGTTAAGAACTTAATTCGTTCTGGAGGTCCCTTCTTAACCTGAAACTGTTCTTAACCTGAGGTACCACTTTAGCTAATGGGGCCTCCCGCCGCCACCGCACTGCACTATTTCTGTTCTCATCCTGAAGCAAAGTTCTTAACCTGAGGTACTATTTCTGGGTTAGCGGAGTCTGTAACCTGAAGCGTCTGTAACCTGAAGCGTCTGTAACCTGAAGCATCTGTAACCCGAGGTACCACTGTATGTAACTATATAAATTCTTCTTAAATGCGATTCAACAGATCATATCAAAATATATGGTTCTATAGACCAACTTATCATATAAATGAAACATATTAATAAGTTGGTCTATGGAACCATATATTTTGATATGATGTGTTCAATCGTATTTGAAAAGAATTTACATAGTTACATACAGCCTGTTACATTGTTTGTGTTGTTATCTGTTTTGTATTTACGTGACAAAGGGTTTGGTAGTGTTTGGGAGCTGTTGGTGAGCAGTGCCAGAACAGGCAGTAGGAGTGGCCTGGGCTACTGAATAGGTGGGACCCCCACTTTCCCCACTGCCCCATCAAACCCCCTTCCCCCTTTTCAGTTTATTTAGGGTTTTTTAAAACATAATTTGTATGATACTGCACTACAAATTGCTATGATCCATTGCTGATCTTCATCTCTACTCTTTCTATTCACTGATTGTAAATAATTTAAAATACCACACATACAAAAACACCATAGATTGATATACAGAGCACACATATAGACTCACAAATGCGCACAAATGTGCATACATTTGTACACATGCTGAGAGCGGACCTCCCTATTTGATCTAGTCCTGTCTTCTGAGGCAGTGGATAACAAGTATTTGGAGGTTTTGGGGAATGCGAACTTGGCAGGGAGGCAGTAAAATTCATGAGTGGAGCAAATTTGGCGACAAGGTGGCTCGGTCACCCACGTGGTCCACCCAGAAGGTCCCTGACAGCTGCAGGCAGCCTACAAATTGCCCGCGTGTTTTGCCTGCTTCCTTGAACTCCGTAGAGGAAAACATGGCTCTATATGTAATTAATAATAGCAAACCAGCTTATTTCCTTTCCCAGGACACATCTTTCTTTACTTAATCTTTCTCAACCTCGATCCAGCCCTCCAATATTCAGCTATGCTGAATATATATGCATCCATCTCTAGACAGACAGACAGGGGCCTATAATGTGAGCTGAATCGTGGCCCCTCTCTCTCTTATTTTTTTTTTTTTGTTTCCCCAAATTTATTGCGTCCATAATCAATACATCCCATAATTTATACCCCCAAGTTGTCTCTTTTTTTGTAGTTGTGTTCGATTTCCATCACTGAGTTATGAGCATCCGTGCTTCTAACAGCATATTTTGTGCAAACTTTTTACTGGAGTAAGTGATGTTCTCTTCATTAATAGATCCCAGCAACAGGGTCAGTGGCTGGAATCCCAACCTTTAAATCTTAAAGGTACAGGAAAGGTTGAAGGACTTTGGTATGCTTAGCCTGGAGAAGAGGAGAGGGAGGGAAGAATACATTTTGCATTTAGGCACTATAAATAGTAGTGACCCTATACATCTGGGGTAAGGAAGCTCAGGCAAAGGCTTCGCTATCTAGCCCTCAGGACTCTCCCCAGACATCCCAGACATGGCCGCTCTCCCCAGGGTTGGCCCAAGACATTTTGGCACCTGAGGTGAACCACAAAATGCACCCCCCTACACACACACACACACACAACAGGGAAGAAGGGGTGAGTGAAGATCTACATTGAGAACAAGGAGGGGAATCAAATCCAGGGATAGCTCAGCTGGTAGAGCATGAGACTCTCAGTCTTGGGGTTGTGTGTTCGAGCCCCACGTTGGGTAAAAGATTCCTGCATTGCAGGCGGGCTGGGCAAGGTGAGCCTTGTTGTCCCTTCCAACTTTAAGGGAAAAGGTAAAGTTAAAGGACCCCTGGACAGTTAAGTCCAGTCAAAGGTGACTATGGGGTTGCAACACTCATCTGGCTTTCAGGCCAAGGGAGCCGGCATTTGTCCACAGACAGCCTTCCAGGTCATGTGGCCAGCATGACGAAACTGCTACAGGCTCATGAAGGACCATGACGAGTGCCAGAGCGCACGGAAACGCCGTTTACCTTCCCGTCTGAGTGGTACCTATTTATCTACTTGCACTGGCATGGTTTCGAACTGCTAGGTTGGCAGGAGCTGGAACAGAGCAATGGGAGCTCACCCCGTCGTGGGGATTCAAACCGCTGACCTTCCGATCAGCAAGCCCAAGAGGCTCAGTGGTTTAGACCACAGCGCCACCCGCGTCCCCTTCCAACTCTATAGTATGATGAACAGTTGACGTGTGAATCAGAGGCTGTTGTAGGGTGAGGAGGAGGGCCTGCCCTGAATCATACTGAGCCCAGGAGACCCCGGAGGGCAGCCCCCACAATTTCCTCCATAGGGGGGAAGCAGAGCAGCCACACCTATTTGCCAAGAGGCCGCTGTAGAGGTGGCATTGGAGGGGGGCTGCCGAGGTCGTGGCAGCTCCTTTCTCAGGCCCCCACAGATCCTGCCACCTGAGGTGGTGGCCTCACCTTGCCTCATGGGTGGGCCAGTCCTGCCTCTGCCTAAGCTAGACCCCTCACCAGCGCTGTGTCACATCCTCCCTGACTGGAATGTGGCCGTTCTTCTTGCTTACCTGGGTTGGGGATAGAGAGGGCCATGCAGAAAGCAGCCTACAATAGAAAAGTAGAATTTACATTTGTTTTCTCCAGCCACTTTTTCCTTTCGGCCCCAACCACTGCTGGAATGTGGCCCCTAGAAGGTTACGCAGAAGTGAAAGTGGCCCTCAGCCCAAAAAGGTTTCCCAGTGCCTACTATGGCTCCTTACATCTTAAGCCAGTGGTTCTCAAAGGGTGTGGCAGGAGAGGGTGCCAGGAAGATTCAAGGACAATCCATATTATATTTTGTGAATGACTCAAGTTCTTATGTAGCTGCTTTGTTTTATATTATCTGGATGCCCCACGATCATATTATAAAGTAGTTGTGTTCTGCGTTCTGTCTTTTTGGTTTCCCAATGGATTTATTGAGAGTGCCGTGAGCAAATTTTTATTCTGAAAGTGTAGTTTGAGAACCGCTAGCTTAAACTTACGGCTTCTTGAACTTCCCTCAGCAACAGAATGGAGCTGCGTGTTTCCTTTTCTTTCCGGCATCCCTCTAAATATTTCAAATCTGGCAACACACCCTCCCTTTAATTTTCTTGTCTGTGGGCTGAACATGCCCACTTCTTTCGGTCTGCCCTCTTTGGCATGTATCTTCTAGACTTTTGACCATCCTCCTCATCACTCATCTTCTGTGAGATGGTCCCAGCGGCAGCTTCCCCTGCAGCTGATAAAGTGCAGTAGCGCAGAATTGGAAGTGGGGTGTGGGAAGATCATGTCAGCGAAGGAAAGCTACAACCGTAGGAGACGGCAAAGGGAAGGTTCCACTATTCTTGCACCTTTGGAGCTGAGCTCCTGCACTGATCCTGCTACTCCACTGCATGCTTTCTATTTAGATTACAGTGATCAGCATGGGGAGGGAACCGGAGGACTAGTTAACATATTCAGCAAGATTAATTGGTTAAGTTTTTAGTGGACTGTACCCCTATTAAGCACGAATAAATCTGTCAATTTCAGTTCTTTCAGTTTCAACTTTTTTTCCACTCTTAAATGCAGTTCTCCACACTGACACAATGATTTGTTGTTTACTTATTTTTTTTAAAAAAAAAATCTTATCTAAACCCATCAACATTTTAGTGAAAATTTCTCCTTAAAAAGCCTACATTTTTGTACACAATATAATGCCTTTTTGTAAGTTATTTTCACGAACATATGCATTGCTATGCATGCTTTCCCCTAACTTGTGCGTTATGGCATGTCTTTTATTTTTAAACATTTATTTCCTCCTTGATTGTAACAAAACCTCTGTGAGTTGTTTTGTACGCATTGTTCAGGCGGAGAACTGCTTTGCAACATTTGGAGAAGTGTGAATTCTGAAGGAAAGCTGTGCTTCAATTTGCATACTGGTTTGAGAAGTGCAAATTAGTGACTTCCTCACCAAAATGCAAACAAAGCCAAATGTCCTCATCTTTAACCCTTATAGGCTGGGATGGCATGTTTAAATACTCCCTGCACATAAAAAGCTAGCATGTCAGGGGGGCAGGCTTGCCACTTCAAGGGCAAACAGCAACTTGGGGTGGGGTGGGGGGGTCGTTTCAGCAAGAAAAAGGTACAGGGAAAGAAAGTTATGCCCCCTCCCCAGCACCACATTCCCGAACCAGATGAAAAGCCCTCTTCATTTTTAAACAGAGAGAGAAAATAGAATCCCAGGTACAGGATTCAAAGGCATCTAACCTTCTTCCTGACATGCTATTTTTCTATGTTCAAGGATGTTTGTTTGTTTGCTTGCTTGCTTGCTTGCTTGCTTGCTTGTATGGGGGGGGGGACTTTTCAAACACGGACCCTTCCTCAATTGCAGCCTGATGTGATGCAGAGACAGCCCACTTAATTGTGCTGTATAGATGAACTGCCTCCGACACTCCGAATGCCTGACGTCTGGAAGTGCCTTTAGTAGTCCAGAGAGGCAGCCACTCTCTTCCCCACCCACTCTCCTCCCCCTTCTTCCCCTTGATCAGACAGAGCCCGGGGAATTTACCAAGCAGCAGGAATAAGCACATTGGCCTGGATCCCTGGAAACGCCACTAGACCGAGGAGTGAGTTAAGTTCCTCGCAGTGGGAGCCCACTAGCCCAGGAAGAACAACTGTGAGGCTTCCAGAGGGTTGCAATGAACCAACCCCTCCGTTCTTATCTTAAACATTTCTTTTGCACACACACACACACACACACACACACACACAAATAGAGAGAGAGAGAGAACTTTCCTTTTGTTTTATAATTGGCAGGCTGTGCATTAAAGTTGTCTTAAACTTTTTCACAACATACGATTCCTTCCTTCCCCCAATCCTGATTTGCACATGCCTGTCTTGCAGATGGCACATAGTAAGCAAGGACCTTACATTTTTTTTCCGGTGGGGGGGGGACACATGCTACAGCGCCTAGCACATTTATGTGCAGCAATAACAACTGCAGTAAAGCTGCCTGTAAGCCGCCGTTAGGGCTTGTTTGAGCCGAAAATGTCTGGTTGTAAATTAAGAAGAAAGGAAGAGGGAGAAGCTATCTGGGCCATGATGAACACTCAGAACAGAGCATTGCTAACACAGCTTGGGAACCATTCATCAAACTGCACAGCAGTATTTCTGCAACCTAAGTTCCTGAGCAAGTTACACCAGTCGCCTGTCTCAGGCCACTTCCAAACCGCCTCCTTGTTCAGCACTCATCCTGATTTGCTTGCGAAAAGTTTGCAGGGAGGTTAGACGGCAAAAGGTATTTGTTAAACATTCATTCTGATTTGTTTGTGAAGAGTTTAGACGGTGTTGCGTAAAATGCAGGTTCAGGTTGCAATTAAAGGCAAAGCTGCCAGATCCACCCTTTCCGAAACAAGATGTGAACTGAAATAACCCTTTGAAATTTGCACCCCTTTCAATTTTGCAGTTCAGCCAAGTGTACAAAAATGCCTAAGCTGGGGTAAACTGCGCATCGAAACACACAAATTAGTTTAAACAACATACAAAAAGTGTGTTATTTTCAGTCCCATTGCATTGCCAATATATGTCCGTTAGGCAAAACTGCATACAAAATCGAGCGTTTTGGGAGAAATTTGTACAAAAAGGCTGGTTAGGACTTCTTTTTAAACTGACTTGGAAATGTGAAAGAAATGAGAAATGGAGGGAAACCAAAATTGACAGATTTGCCTCCCTCTCACTTCAAAGCAAGTGTTAGCCCACATTCCCCCACTGCCTTCCCCACACCCCAGCATTTTCCTTAAAGTTCCCAACCTGAATTTGCCAGTTATGTGACTGAAATTAACTACAGTCTGGAAGCACTCAGAGAAGAAGCTGCTGGGACCGAGACGATTCCAGGACCTTCACTCCCCTGCCTCTGTTTCCAAATTCAAAACCATCCATCAGCCTCTGGCTCCCACATTGGTACAATAATTTCCCCCCACAGCTCAGGAATGGCATATTGCACAATTCTCATGAATAGAAATAATAAGGCCAAGCCGACGAGCACTGTCCCCTCCTTTATCTCAACTCCCCCTGCCCGCCCCGTGGATCCCCGGCAAAGATGGCTGCTTAGACCGTGGAGGAGGAGAAACCCCATCTGGAGCGGCCTGCAACATGCCATCGCCAACAGAGAGGACAACTCTTGCCAGGCTGTTCCCGTATGGGAAGCAGATGGGTGACCGGCCACGTACACCGTCCATCATCCGGCCTGTCACGGCTCTATGGAAGCACTCGACAGGGAGCAGGCCACAGGCAAAGGTAACAAGGAGGGGAGCAGAGTGCACATTGGAACAGGGCAAAGGAGACAGCAGAGAAAAGGGGACGCTGTAAACAAGCTGAGCTATGCAACTCGTGTCCGTTCCTACCCTCTCCCCCTCCTTACAGCTTTCCTGCCCAGTAGGAATCCAAACACGTTGGAGGTAGTCTTAGGGCGGCCACTTGCACACAAGGACGGGGAAAGAATTTGATTCGCTTTGCATTTTAAGGTAAACTCACCTAATTTGCACAGTGGGGAACAATGCATGGACCGAGAAGTGGCCCGCCTTCAAAATTCACACATCTCTGAATTTTGCAATGCAGTTCTCTAGCCGAGTAATGTGCTGAAAAAACACATATACTGGGGTAAAGGAATGCCTATATTAACAATAAAAGCATGCAAAAAATCATTATATGAGTGGGGAGCAACCTGTTTTGCAGCTTAGGCAAAATTGCATAC